AGAGAGAGAGACAGACAAAGAGACAGAGAGACAAACATACAGAGAAACCTAACAAAGTTATATTTATATGTGTGTGTTCTCAAATCTTCATTCTCAGCTGAACACTTTCACTCTTCAACCCTTCCTCCTCTGCCTGTGTCTGGCACTCTTGTTACTAGAGAAAACCTGCTTCCGGGCACATAACTAGCATGGTGCGTGGAGAGTAATTATGTTGCCTTTTTCCACACTGTTCTATATCAATGTCTTCTCCCTCGTGTCCAGTTTCCTGTTTCCACTGGGTTGCTCTTATCTTCTTGTTCTGGTACAGCTCCATCTTCAAAAACCCCCTTATAAACCCTTGTTTTATTGAGTTTGCCATCTGATCTACATCCTCCTCTGTAACGAATCATTGCCTGTTGCAATCTCTGCAGTCATTTGTCCCCAGCATTCCACTGAACTCTCTCTTATCAAGGTCACCAGTAACTTCTTTATCAACAAATCCAATGGAAGGTCCTGAGCCCTTGTGTTCCTGATTGCTGGGGGACAAATGGCAAGGCCATTCTCCCTTTTTCTCAAGGTACTACCAAACCAGACAGCTGCATGCCCTTCCTTTGGCTGCTTCTCACTCTCTGACTTTTACATTTGGAGTAATCCAGGCAATCCTCACACACTTGTAATGTCACTGAGATGGAAGGAGATGAATAGGAAGGAACCTTGGGTTTTCACATAAACACACAGGATTACAAACACACAGTGTGTCGTCTTGAGTAAACTAAAGACCATAAACATCCAATCTAATAGAAACTTGACTATCTAACAGAAACAGTCTAACAGACCAATCTAACAAAAATGGCTCTCACATCAAAGGAGTAAAAGATGTGTTTTATTCTGGACAAAAATTTGAGCGACCATGGCCTGAGAGCATATACTCCCCAAATACAGTGTCCAACATGAAAGCAGTTTCGTGGAGTTTTCTGGTAACAGAACAAAGAAAGTTGAAAATTATGATATTTTTAAAAACACATAGGTAGAAACATCAGGGAGACAAGTTATAATAAGATGGAGAAGCTCTGCTATTGGGCTTAGATGCTGTCATCAACACTATTAGGCCTTTGATTGGTGGAAAGCTAGGGTTTTGTTAAGTTAATACATTCCAAACACTTTTTATCGGTCTGATCTTAGGTTTGGCAAGTAGCAGGGTGTTAGGTCTGACACAGAGGGGCAAGGAATGGCTTATTAGGATACTAGAGACCACCCGGGATAAGTTATTAAGAGTCCCGGAACTTCGATATCCAATTCCTCCAGATCACTGAAGTTTCAATCATCAACTAGCCTATGCAGACAGATTCTTCCCTAGAATGCTCATTCCTGTAAATACAATAAATTGGGCATTCTCATAAGCCTTCCTGCAGTAAAGACAGACCATTGCCTTCAGCAACTTAAAGAGTCCCTTCAATTTTTTAGGTCTCTACTTAGACCCATGCAACCTTCAATTTCAACACAAGAAAGAATTTCAGGGCTATGGATGAAGCAGAATTGGGGATTATTAGAAGACCGCTGGGATAGAGAGTTGGGAGACAGTGCAGCTGGTAATGCACAGATCAGAGTTCAGATCCCAGCACCCACATAAAAAGCTGGGTGTGGTGGTGTGCCTGTAACCCCAGTGCTGAGGGTGACAAGGCAGGAGCATCCCTGAGGCTTGCCAGCTAGCCTGAACCAGCAAGCTCTAACTCCAGTGGGAGACCCTGACCCCAAAAATAAGGTGAAGAGTGATTGGAGAGAGAAAAAAAAAAAAAACTGTACTTTGACCTCTGGCATGCATATGTGCCCCACCACACACACATACAAAAATAAAGATTTTTTTAAAAAATATATATGTAGATAGATAGATTTTTAAGCAGAATAATTAAGGGAAAGAGAAGTTTTGGAAGAAAAGAAGATGAAGCACAGACAATAGGTTCCTCTAAGAGAGCATTGTCCCTCATTGTCTTTAAAATAGCCATATATTCTATTTTGGTGAGGTTGCTAAGGAAACAAAATGAGGTCCCAGGTCTGAAGGACAGTTGCCATGGCTTCAATTGGACAGGCAACTCTCTAGCTCTAAGGGATACAGGAAGGTATCTCCACTGCACACAGAGTTTATAATAGTCTTGTTTGAGATTCCCAGAAAATATCTTAGAAGAGTAATGAGGCCCCTCTCTTGACATAAAATAGCTACAAAAAGAAGGGACGGTAGCTCCTTGTTGGCAGCCCTTACAGCAAATGGTGATGTGCTGGACTCTTGGTGCTCAGCTGGGGACAGACTTGAACCAGATGCGGGGCTGAGGGGGTCTTTCCTTTCCCATGTTCCCACTGTTCCAGTGTCTTTCCATCTTGCCTCAACAAGCACCAAGAGTCCCAGCGGATGAACCAGCTTCATCGCCCTCCCTCTCTGAAGCACGTTTGCAGTGTTTGCCGACTGCTTGTGCTAAGCATTTGTGTTATCTCAATGAGTGTTAATAAGTGTTAAAGTTGCTGCTGTTGTGTCCAAGTTACAGGTGTCTGAGCAGGGTCAAGATTAGGACTGAGCTGGGAGGCTGAAGTCATAAGGAAGGCAAGAACTTGAACATGATAATTTCTGTAGAAACCGGGTTGATGTTTCCAAGAATGCTGAGGGGACAAAGGTTGGAGAGGAAGCCTTAGTCCATGTCTTTAGATACATTTGAGGGGAACTGGAGAAAGACTTTCACAGGGCTGAAAGAAATGAGGGTCACTGAGTAGCCCAGACTGATGGCTCGGACTTTAAGACAACAGGTTTTTGTTTCTTTGTTTCGGGTCAGGGCTTCACAAAATACCTGGGCTGGCCTCAAACCTACCTCATAATCTGCTCCTCCTGCCTTCACCCCTGAGTGCTGGGGTGACAGAAATGCAACACCACATTTGGCTTGACCCTAAGAGGCTTTGAAAAAATGGAGAATGGAAATACTCAATAGAAGTGTCGCTGAAGAACCAACAGGGTACGGGCCTTGTTCCAAGTGCTGAAGAACCTTGGGTAAGGGTGACCTGAGGAGTGGAGCTTGGGGAAGGGAGAAATCAAAACCACCATTTGAAAGAGCCATGGTAATGCCAGCTGGTTCATCCATTGGAATCCGCAGTTCCCAGACAATAAACAAGGGTCATTCAGAGACACCAACGAAGAATTCTCTTGGTGATGGAACTTTGCAAAAGGCTCAGTGGAAGAGCTCCAGTGCTAGGTGGAGACTGAGTTAGAGTGGACTTGTGCCAAGATGAATGTGTGAAGAGAGAAAGAGGAATATTCGACTTTGGGGATGAGGAGGAAGTAAGAAAGGAGAACACATCTAGTTGAGGTGCAGGGATTTTAGGTTGGGGGTGTGTTGCCAGTGATGTCCTTGAGTCTGGCAATCTGAGCTCTATAGGCTTCTTTGTGGAACTGAAAACAACCCTTGCTATTCTCCTGGGACCTAGACCCCAGGGAGAGTCTATGAAGGGCTTGGAGAGCCATGGCTCTTACTAGGGGCCTTGCCACCAAGGTGTCATTACAGGTAGGCGTGGCCTGAGCAGCAGTCACTCTGGATTCAACAGCATGGGGACAAGAATGTAAAGGTGATAGGGGACATAGGAGCCTCGAGTTTGGGGGATATGTAGAGCTCCTGACTTCTGGGCAATAAACCAAGAGCTAGCCTGGTTCTTGTGACTCTTTCGCAGAGTCGCGCTAGACAGAGGGGGTGGACTGCATCAGCTGCTGGCTGAATGCACTGTGAGAGACAGACACTTGCTGCAAGAGAAGCATGAGGCAGAGACTCAGCCAGAATGTCAGACGGCTGGAGGAGGAGCGGCCGAGGAGCTGGGGAGGCGGCTCAGTAGGTAGAGCGAAAGCATGGGGACCTGAGTTTGGAACCCCACACCCATGTAAGAGCACACATCTGTAACCCCAGCTCTTGAGGGGTGGGGGTGTGGGAAGGGCAGAGACAGGCAGATCCCAGTGACTCTTTGGCCCGCCAGTCTAGCCCAAGAGGCAAGCTCCTGGTTCAGAGAGAGAGAGACACACCATCTCCAAAGCTAAGGTGGAGAGGAGTAAAAGGTGTTGATGCTGGCCCATGGCAGCCACAGGGGAACGCACAGGGGAGCAACTCTGCACGCACATGGGAGCCTACATTCCTGCATGCACAGGCATAGTATTCAAGTGGGATCTTCGTAGACGGAGACGGCTGAGGAAAGCCACTCCTTCCACCCGGGCTCCAAGCTCCTGCTCACACTAAACCTCTCCTTCCTAGGAGAGCCTGAACGTCAAGACAGTCTCCTTTTGAGGGATCCTGGACCTCTCCAGCGGCATCCGTGTTGGGAGCCCGGTAAAGCTGCACAAGCGTAATGATGGACAATAAAGATAAGAAGAAAGTAGCCAGTCCCACAGTCCAAAGCCAGCCCCTCACATGTGCGTCAACACTTACTCTCAATTGCTTGAAGGGCCGGTATTAAAAGATTATATTCGTAATCACAGTGCTGAGGAGAGGCTGAGAAAGAAACACTGGTTCCTGGTTGAAGGCCAGCTGGGCTACATAGGGAGAACATGGCTCAAAATAGTAATAATAATAATAATAATAATAATAATAATAATAATAATGATAATAGTAAAGGCCACTCTTTGGTTTTGAAAGCTGTTTCTTAGAAAATGATAAGAACAACGTTGGACAACAGAGAGGGTTAGGAATCAGATGTTAAGTCGCCCAGCAGAGGAACCAGGGGTCTGGGGAGACCATTTGGGTGACTGTTGGATGTGTTAGAAGGAGCATGCAAGCTTCCACCGCTGGGCAAAAACAAGGCTGAGTCTCTGAGCCAGCCAGCTAGATGCCAGCCAGGAGCAGGGCAGCCACGTACATGTTACAGATGATGTTTTTCTTTGACTTGCTCGTGTTCTGAGACCTTTGGCCCAGTTTTCCCGAAGCAGGCAGAGGCCTCGATAAGCTGAGGCGGGGCTTCCTCTGGAGGCTGGAGTCCTAGAGACTTATAAAGCCCAACTCACAACTGCTGGGCATCTCTCCCGGGGGCCTGTGGACTGTGCTGGCTTTGTGTTGATACCCTAGAGATGCAGCGGCTTTTGGCTCCAGCAAGGCGAGTCCTGCAGGTGAAGAGAGTGATGCAGGAAGCTTTGCTCCCACCTGCTCACCTGTTCTCAGCAACCCACCAGAGGTGAGTCACCTGCTTTGAGGGTCGCTATAGGGTCACCCTCAGACAAGCACCACGGGCATCAGGAAGAGCAGGCAGAGGACCTGTCAGAGAACTCACTAGAATCCCATGCACAAGCTGGCGTGGCTTGTGCTCAGTTATAAGCAAACAAGTTAGTTTCAAAGGGTCTCCATTGCCTCTCTTCTGGACAGGCCTGCCAACTGTCGAGCTGGGAGTGTCTAAGCGCCTAGTTCTCACTCTTCCTAGTGCAGCAACCCTTTAATAACATGCCATGGTGACCCTCAACCACAGCATACTGCGTCACAACTGTCATTTGGCTCCTGTTATGAGCAGTAATGTAGGTGCCTGGCCTGCAGGATATATTTTTATTGATACAAAGTGACCCAAGGGGTCGTGCCCCACAGGTTGAGAACCATCGCTCTAAGCCTAAGTCTCTGATGCACCCTGCTTAGGGAAAGGCATTCTTTCCTCGACCAGCTGCAGGAGGAGGCAGACCTCGGAATCCTGCACCTGTAGTGTTAGTTCAGGTGCTCCCTTCAGTGCACAGGCCTAGGATGAGCCAAAAGGAAAATGTTGTGTTTCTCCATACTTCAGTTTCATGAGATGAAATAGAGAAATGGCGTGGGTGTTTCTGTGTTGTATGTGTAGGGTGTGGGAGATACATGTGTTTCTCCCATGTGAAGAACACGCATGCTTCCTTTCTCCGTAAACACCCTCCAATCTGGTCCAAGGGCTTGTGGCTCCCACAACTGATGAATCACATCTGTGCTTCTTCAGGCTCCTAGCCACCTGTGTGTTATTTCCCCCTTTGCTCATTGTCCACTGGACTTGGAGTCCTAAGGCTACTTTTCTACTTAGACCCGGGAATACTGACTATTTAGGAAAACATTTTGCTGTTGTGTCTTCCCTAGCCTTCTCTCCTGGAAGCCTGGGTGTAGGTGTGGAGGGGAAAGGGGAAGTGTCCTTTGACCTCTTTATTTTCTCCATGAGCCACCCCACCGTCATCTCTACTTTCCCACCCATTGCAAAACCACTGCATTTTAATAGGTTCTCCCAGCTTAAAAATCTAACTTGTTTCTGCCTCTGTGAGGAGGTGGTGGGCATAGCTTACTTGTTTCAAGGCTGCACAGGGGTGACCATTTCCTACTTGTCTTCCCCTCCCCCCTCACTTTGAGACAAGGCCTCTCTATGTAATCTTGGCTGACGTCGAACTCACTGTGTAGACCAGGCTGGCCTTGAGCTCATAAAAATCCAGTAGCCTCTGCCTCCAGAGCACTGGGGTTATGGGTATGTACCACCATGCCTGGCACAAAGGTTCCCTAAGTAAGAGTAGGCCACTACCCAAGAGGCAAGCCTCCACCCTCATCAACAATCTATGACTTCTTTGGTTGGTGCCCTGGAATCCTCATTCATGTTTCCGTTCTGGGGCCCTCATGGTTAACCCCAGTGCTCAATCCTAAATTGCTAATGTTATTTATAGTTCACCTTTGCTCTAGGCCAGTGGTTCCCAACCTTCCTAATGCCGGGACCCTTTAATACAGCTCCTCGTGTTGTGGTGACCCCCAACCATAAAGTTATTTTATTGCTACCTTGTAACTGTAATTTTGGTACTGTTGAGGACCATAATGCAAAGATCTGATATGTGAGCACCAATGGGGTAAGAAACACTACTCTAGAGGTCTACCTCTGTAATGCAACCCACAGCAGCTAAGTCCACCCCAGAATGGCCATCACCCCAGCATCTGCTTCCCTGGGGCTCAGTGCTTCTCACCTATAACCTCCCTGCTTCCCTGTGAAGGTTCCCTGGCTTTTCCACACACCCCCACTAAGGCTACTGCCCCCTCACAAACCTTCACTGACAGAAAATCTTGAGCTGTCACTCAGGATTGACCTCAGGGTCTGGCGAGCTGGTTCATCAGGTTAAGGCGCTAGCTGCCAAACCTGAGGACTTCAATTCAATCTCCAGAATGTACACAGTAGGAGGGGACACAGTCCTGAAATTTGTCTTCGGACTGCCACACGTGTGCTGTGGCATCCTTGTTTAAAGTAAGATGTGTCTCAACCTTACTAAAAAAGATACAAACAAACACCTCAAATTCAGCCTCTCCCACGAAGCCCAGAGAGTATGTGCTTTCCTTGCACTGCGTGAGTTTGCCTGTATCCCTTTGGAGATGTGCCTCGCCCCAGTCTTCGTAGTTGAGCTATGTACACATTCATCTTCCTCATGCCCATCAAGGACGCTGAGAGCCCTGCCCTCTTCTCTGTGGAACTCCACACAACAGCACCCTTCTCTGCACGACGCCCAACATGGGATAGTTAGCCGTGAACCCACAGGGAAGCAGGCAGGATGGGCTGAAGGAATAAGGGCATGGGGTAGAGCCTTGAGCTTGCTGGCAAAAGGAAGCTGGTTTAAATTAAAGGCAGTGATCATCACTTGGAGGGAGGTCAGGATGAAAAGGGGCCTCTTAGCCAAGTGCCTGGGTGCTCCTGGAAGGAAGCCTTTGTGCAGGGTTTGTCTTCAAGGCCCTGAAATCCACATCCAGAGAGTCTCTAACAAGACAATAAGGAGAGTTACTGATTCCCTGAACTTCTCCCTGAATCTTGTCTTTCTAGGTGGGAAGACGGAGAGGGAGGCAGCCCGGAGGAGGCAGAGAGAGACATGAACATGTGGGAAAGCCTCCAAGCTGGCAGCTCCAAACACTAGCTAACCATTAGCTCTTGGGCCTAGGGATTCTCCCCATAAATATTTGAAAGTTCAAACTCCAGGTATTTGGAAGGTACGAAATAAATAAATTAGTTCCCACCCTCTCTAGTCATAGGCTGACGAGGACAGCTCTGCTTCTGTAGCCTATGACCATAGGATATGCTTTTGTCTCACAGGGATCCTTAAAAGCAACTCTCCCGGCAGGAGAATTGTTGAGCTCCAGAGGGACAAGTCGGGAGAAGCACTCAATATGAGCCTTAGCCTCCGTGGTATGGAGAGCTTTGAAAGCCAGGTGCCCAAGGCAACAACTAGACAGAGTATTTCTAATACAAGTAATGCCGGGGAGTTACTGAGCCATCATTTCCCCAGTGTTTATGGTAAAGGAAGTCACTCATTTCAGACACTTTCCTATGGCACAGGTAGGAGGGGGACTTGAAGCTGAGAGGGAAAACTGCAGGCTTTCACCAGAGGAGTGAAAAGGAGTGAAAGGGCTTTCACCAGAGGAGTGAAATCTGAAGTGAAGGGAAGTGGAGAGACAAAGGAAAGAAAGACATTCTCTCTTCCCTCTTCCACTGATCCCCGTTTTCTCCGGTCTCTGTTCGGAATGGCAGTTTCGGTCCTCTGTGCTCCCTCAGGTTGGTCTGCCCCACTGCACAAAGAGCTATAAAATGCCTGCCGCTTTGTGAGCACAAAGGGTGTCTGTCTTATTCTACGGTGAGTCAGCTCTGCACGGGGAGTGTCCGATAAATATTGAAAGTCCCAATCAGAAGAAAGCAGACGAAATGGAAGATATCGAAAACTCCCTTCAAAAGTAGGAAAATGACCCGGACATGTTGGTGTACATTCGCAATCCCAGCATTCATGAGGCTGAGGCAGGAAGATCGTTAATTCAAGGCCAGCTGGGCTACACAGTGAGCCTGTGCCTTAACACGAAACAAATACAGCAACAAGTGGGGAAAGGGTTGGTCTGTTCTGGTGTAGCAAAAAGAAAGGAGAGGGACAGATAACGAGGGGCACGCTGTAAAGACGAGTCGAGGTTTCTATATAATCCCAAGGGCTTACAGCACATGCAGAAATAAAGCATAAGGACAGTAACTATTCAGGAGGACGGAGAAGTGAGCAGCTCACCTACAGAAAGGCTTTGCACCTTTCTGAAGGTAGCAGGGTGTGTTTTAATGGACACACAGTAACTGTCTCTACTTGCGGGGTGTGGTGTAACAGTTAAAGGACATACACATCATGCAATGACCAGGTCAGGGCAATTGGCTTATTTATCCTCACACGCACGTTACCCATATCTTGGTGTTGCGAGCGTTCAAAATCTTACTCACTAGCTACCTTAAAATACTCAATTGTTGTTGATTGTAACGATCCTGCTGTGTCATGGGGCATTGAAAGCCGCTTCTCCTGACTGTGGATGTGGTTCAGCGTGTCTGCCTCAAATGTCCTGCATTCACCCCTAGCGCCATGGAAAACAAAGCAAAAACAAACAAACAAACAAACAAAATAAAAATGTAGTTCTCCCTACAGTTGTACCCCTGTACACACCAGCCAGCCTCTCTCCGTCTCGCTTTTTCCTTACTCCTTTTCATGGCATTTGTATCACTGTTCTAGTGTCTACTCTTTTGAGATCAATCTTTTAGCTACCGCCTGTGAGCAAGAACATGCGATCTCTGTGTTCCTGTGCCTAACACATGTCTCATCCATGTTGCTGCCATGACCGAATTTAATCTTCGTGGATAAATAATGCCCCACCATGCACGTATGTCGTAGTTTGTGTGCACATTCATCTGTCAGTGGATGGCACAAAGGGTTCTCTCGCGGGGTGATTGTAAATAGTGTTGCAACGTTCACACTTACGTGCAGAACATGCACGATGCCTGTTCAGTTCAGTTCCTTTGGGCATGTACCCAGTATTGAGACTCGTGGATCATATGGTAGTTCTGCTCTGCTTTTTTTCTGTTTCCGTGTGGCTGGGCCAGTTTACATCCCCATTGTCTTTGTATGAAAGGTTTTTTTCTTTTGAAAACTTGTGTGTGCATGTGAGCATGTGTGTGCTGGCACGTGTGCCATGGTGTATGTGTGGAGGTCAGAGGACAACTCTCAGGGGTCTCCTACCATTAGGTTACTGAGACTCAGCACAGGGCGTCAGGCTTGGCAGCCGGAACACAGGCAGCTCCCCGCCGTGAACCTTCTGTGTCTCCAGTCCTCACAGCTTCCTCTCTCTGCAGCCTCACTGCGTCCGGTACCTACTTATGCAGCCACCTAACTGTGGTGAGCTTGTCCTCAGACCTTTGCT